GCTGCCTGTCTCTGACTCTTTGGGTCAGGTCTGTCTTTTTGTTCTGGGTTCGTACAACACCTTGCACAAGGGAGTCATGGCCCACGACTGTGGCTCCTAGGCATGATGTTAATACAATTTAATAATAATAGTCCTTAGAGTTTTAAAGGCACAGTACACAGAAACCCACATTAATTACATAGCTAAATACAGCACAATTTCTGATCTTCAGCTGTAATATTTCAATTGTTTCTGAGTCCCCTTTGTGTTGATTTCTGATATCCTCATCAGAGTTCCCACAAAATGAATCGGCAGAGTTCTTTTCTTAATAGCTCTTCCTATTAGCTACTTCACTTTTTGTATCTTCCCCTCCCCGCCCCCCCATCCACTGACTCTCTACTGATGCTTTTGAACATACAATGGGTTGCCATCAAGTTCTTCCTTTGGTTCTTGAAACTGCGTTAGCCCAGGAACATGGCTTCCCATGGGGCAGAAACCTCAGCAGCTGGGCCGGATTTACACTTTACGCACCCTTAAACACAGCATCTTCAGCGTCCCTCCCCTCGTCTACAGCTGACCTTCGTGTTGCACACAGTTTTAGAGAAGTAAGGTGCCCCTAGAACGCTGGCGCCCCTAGACACGTACCTACTGTGCCTAATTGAAAATCCAGCCCTGCTCACAGACTATCCCTCTCATGATCTCCTTCTGAAGAACTTGGCCTTTCCCATTTGATGTACATTTAGAATTGTGCTGGCCAATTTCCAGCACGTCTCCATTGCTGACATTTCCATCCAGTACCACTCTCAGAGAGCTGATTTTTTTTAATTGACCTTTCCCCATCCCTTCCCCACTCCCCCCCAAAAAATCCCACAAGCACCAAAGTAGTTTTCATTTTTAACTTAATTCTATTCTTTTCAATTCCTTGGTCACATGATTTGTAAGTCACTGACCATGACCAAGTCAGAGTAGGTTAAAGCTGGTACCCGAATGAGTGTGAGTATCTAGGAAAAGAGTTATGGCCTCTAGTTATTTCTTGCTGTAAGTCTAAAGGTGACTAGGTCAGTGGTTCAAGCATCAACTGCTCTTGTAAATAACAGTAACTTAATCCACCTCATTCTTGAAAGGTGGTTATACAAAAACATACAGATGCTCATATATACACACACATACACACTTTTCATTTGCAGATACTCTAGGTCCTTTCTCTTCTATACAAATTCTTCCTCTTTAGGTCTCACTTTAGCATGTGTCTGGGGCTTGAGAGATTATGTACTATCTCATAGCCTCTGTGGAATGTTCCCTGGTTTTGCTAAGGTCCCAAAGACTGACCATCCCTTTTGGCAAGAGAAGCTCAGGTTGTAACAGTGCAAAGCTTATTTCACCTTTAAATTCAGTAATTTTCCATCCCTCAAACATGCACATTCGTAAGCCCACAATATGCCATGCAAAGATAAAGCCTGTCAGCTGCCTGTCAACAAATCTCTGTGCTTCTTTCCTCTGCTAAATTGGCCTGCAACCGCGCCTCTACACGACCTGCAGCTTAGGCTTGTATTTGTACAATTCCACCTTGACCACTTAGTCAACTGAGATGCAACAGTAAGAGCATCGCGGGCCAGAAGGTTGGAAGATTTCTTTTCATGTTCCAGCCAGGGGTGGCTCCAGGCACCAGCGCAGCAAGCGCGTGCCTGGGGCAGCAAGCCGTGGGGGGCGGCCTGCCGGTCGCTGAGAGGGCGGCAGTCAGGCGGCCTTCGGCAGCATGCCTGTGGGAGGTCCGCCAATCCCGTGGTTTTGGCAGTAATTTGGCGGTGGGTACGCCGAAGCCGTGGGACCGGCAGATCACCCGCAGAAACGCTGCCAAATCCGTGTGACCGCGGACCGCCCACAGGCGTGCCACCGAAGACCGCCTGACTGCCATGCTTGGGGCGGCAAAAAACGTAGAGCCGCCCCTGGTTCCAGCGCCCCACCTGCAAATGTATGTAGGGAGTCTTGGAGCAACCCACTCAGCTGCTGGCATTACAATCCAAAGCAGAGCAGTCTTTATCCTTGTCCTGCTTCCAGGACCCCTGATTTGTCATACTCAGTTATTGCCTGTACGCTCTATACTTGTCTTCCCTTATTCTTTGTCTTCTGAATTCTGCTTCACCCCCAATTGTGGGAATCACTGTTTTAATCCACATCATGCCAAGGAGAATAGTGGCTGGCACTGCTATAGTACCTTTCATAAGGGGCAGGTAGCATGGTTAGCCGTGCTTCCTAGGACTGCTAAGTCCAGGCCAGAACATGTGGAGACCCTGTGTTGTGACAGTAGAGCCTGATTTCCGAAGTGTAGACTTCTGACTTCAACTGGGGTGATAAGTACTCCACACTTCTGCAAACGCCATCCCCTTCTGCGGCCCAGGCTGGTATAGTCAGGCTGTGAGCCAAAGGGTCCATCTATATCCTGCAGCCTCATTAAAGAATCCCCTTGCTATTTGTTACAACCAAATCCTGTTTCTCCTCTACAATAAAGAACAGGATGGGGTACTAAACTATTAATGAATTAAGCCTCACAATAGGCCCATGTCTGTCTAATCTGTCATCCTGGCCTTCTATAATTTGACCCCTCCTCCAGGAAGCAAATGTCTTTATTACAGGAAATCAATATTATTCACTGGAATTCACCCCTCTCGGAATCCAGGGTGTCCCTGCTTAATGTCTGGTGTCTGTTTCTTAAGGGCTTTCAGGTACACCTGCCCAACTCCCTTTGAAGACTAGTGGAGTGCTATGTGCAGATCTAAATGCAGAACTTGGCCCTCTGTTCTTGAAATGTGTGTTAAATTTTCACCAGCAGAGCAGCTTCCATTCCAGTCCTTCAGACACCTTTTGTATTACTAATTATTTGTCTCAGGGTAATTGACTTGCAAGACATTCCTGGCTTTCAATTTGCATTGAGTGAATTATTGACCTGTCACCTGGGTCAGCGATGTGAAGAGGCATATGAACAAGCTGAATGCAAAAAAGATGCTTTGCATTCCCCATAGCAGATGTAGCTATTAGTGCATTGTGCAGCAACGTTAAGTTCTTGCTCAATTTTAATTTAAAAATATATGGCCAAATTCATCCTTGGTGTAACCTTGCTGTAGACCACTGAGTTTTACCAAGCATGGATTTGCCCCTGTAGGCTGCTTTAAAATCTCTCCCATGCTAAGTCCTGATATGCTCATTTCCAGAATTTTTACAGCTGACTTGAAATCAAACCCATTAGAAAATCAAACCCAAATAACTGGACCTGTTATCAAGGTGAGCAAGCAATATCCAGCACAGCTTTTTTCTTTGCTATTCCATAACAAACAAAAAACTTACTGAGCATGGTCTGTCTCAACCCATACACAAAAACATCTTCCTCTAGCAAGAAGGCATCTTCCTGTAGGCCTTGGGGAACAACAAAGTCTAACAATAAAGCATTGCCTTGGGAGTCACATGATCTGAAGTCAATTGCTGACTCTGCCACAGACTTTCTGTGTGACCTTGAGCAAGTCACTTCTCTTTTCTGTGCCTCAGTTTCCCAATCTGTAATATGGCAATAATTACATCAGGGGAGTTAGGAGGATATGTTCATTACTGCTTATAAAAGGCTCAGAGATCCTCACATGGAAGGTTGCTGTGGAGAGGCAAAATACTATTGGTCTGGGAACTGCCATAGTTCTAGTGACGCTCAGACACTATGAAAATACCTAGACAGAAAGACCCTTGTCTAAAATCTCAACACAAACTTGTACAGTCCCCAGAGGGAAGAAAATCTGCTGTGTCCCTAACTAATATCTTAACACCCAGCAAAACAAATACAGATGAGAATACACAATGGTTTGGGGGGAAAGGGATTGTAGAGCTGCACTAATAGTAAGTTGAGTTGCAGATAGTTTCACAAATAAAAGGGTTGAACTAGATTCAGTATGATCACATTATATTTATCATTCATATTACTGAGATCAGGGCCTAGCTGCATATTTAGGCACCTAAATCCCTTTTAAAAAGTGGCCTGTAGAGATCAAGCCCCTAAGTCCCAGTTTCAAATGAAACTTCAGCATTTAAGAGTCTAAATCAGTGGGACTTAGGCATCTAAGTCTCTTACTTGCTTTTGAACATATTACCGTAAAAGACTTGTCCAAGTTCACACACAATTCAAGTCTGTGGCAGAACCAGGAAATGAATCCAGATTTTCTGGGTCCCAGTCAAATATCTTAAGCACAAGATCCTCTATCTCCCATATTTGTTCTTTGCAAGCATTTGAATGACCACCCAGTAGCTTTGAAAATGTCCATGAATCTCAAAAGTTGCACAAATGATAATTTATCTGAAAATTCATATTTATTGTTCTTCTGTTTGGGGGTGGGGGGGACCCTTCAGTCATCTGATCAGGGAGCAGAAACAATAGCATGTGAGCAATCAATTCTATAACATACAAATAGCAAATCCAAGAGCCACTCAGGGTCTGAACATTCACTGTCCAGATTGTTTGTTCTGAATAACAAATTACTTTTGAAGACCAGGATGGGCTCATGGGCAGCTTTGTTAACCAGAAAAGGGGCTATATTTTGAAATGAATAATATTTATACTGGTGAGCACAGGCTGTTTTGTGGACAGCATGGAACCACAATACAGAAAGCATTAGGGACATGCTTGTACCACACCTTCCCTGAGACAGGGGGTGGCACACACAATGTTCTCTCATGGGGGGAGTGGGGGAGGGGGGGCTTTGCTTTGTTGTTCCTTTGTTTCTCATCACATAAGGAAACCTAAAACTAAGCACCTTCTACAAGCTGCCGAGTTCCCTCCACTCCTATTGGAGTCAAGAGTCCTGAAGCTGCACAAAGCATTCTGCAGGGGGCACTCAACATCTTGCAGGTTCAGGTGCAAGGTGCTGTTCAGTTAGGGAGTTCTTTTACGACCTCAAAAGGTGATCAGCTCGCAGACAGATCCATAGGCTCCATCACACTTAGTCTTGTGGGCTGCCCTGTTGCCGCAGAATATCAGGACTTACCAGCGTATTTGTGGGAGTGACTACCTGGTTTACACAGAGGGCAGCTCCATCAGGCGTCTTGGTTGTCAAGAAATATGAGCATGAACTCCCAGGGCTATGGTAAATTGCATCTCTCCTCAAACGGTCAAGGACAAACGACAGATCTGGATGGAGCTGGAAACTGGCAAGTAACTTAATCAGGGGAAATGAAGCATGAGAGCCTCTTTCCTCCCGCCTACCTCGTTCTCCCCCCCTCAGCGGGGTCTGAAGGCCAGGGACGGTCATCTGGTTAGTCCATGCAAGTCAAAGCTCAATAAGCACCTTGCAAGTTTCTGAAAACAAGGTTAGCCTGTTGCTGGTAGGAATGCAGGGTTTGCACTTAAATACTAGAGGCTGGACTAAGTGAATTGATGCCAAGATAAATACTGCTGAGATGTAGAACACCAGGGAGTGAGGGGGAGGAGGCAGTGGTCCAGATAAATTGTAGTATCTAGGGATGATTTCCATGGTAGTTAGATGATAAGCACCTTGGGGTAGGGCTGTCTGTAAAGCTCTGTGCACTATTAATAATAATTCTAATGGGGCAGGAGCTGCATCTTTCTGCAAGTGCAGAAGGCCCCATTAGCAGTGTAAGAAGCATGGTAAAGGGTAGGATCTGGGAGCCCATGAACAGAGATTTCAGACGCCTTGCATCCCTGGAGCATCTACATATGCATCACAATGAGAGGATGCTTTGGGAGGCCGGAGCAGAACATGTGGTCAACCACCTGCTTGGAGAGAGGACACACCCCAGAGGAGCTATTTGACAAGTCCATCTCTCTCACCATCACAGAACTTCTTTGCTTCCTGCTGAATTTGTTGGGCGTGCTGTGCATGAAGTGGCTGCAGATTTGATCACAATGGTAAAAACTAGTAGGATTGAACTAGAATCCCTGCATCTGAACCAGCTTGAACATTTGTAATTCAGGTCTTGTCTAGGCTGGAAGACTCTATGGTGAATGAAGAACCAGTGAAATAACATTAAAAAAAACCCAAGAGTGAAAATTTGAGCCACTGAGAAAGGAAGTGATCTTTAGACTCGCGCTGGGGCTGATTCACAACTATTACCCCAATTTTAACCAGTATAACTCTTGAAACCAGCGGAGTGACACCTGCATTAAACTGGGATAATGAAGCAGTGAACCAGCTCTTTGCTGACATCTCATTAACTTCAGTCACTAATTCATATTTTTGGAGAAAAGAAGCCTTTGTTAAAGAATCCAGGCTCCAACCCATTCAATTAAGGTGTGGGAGCTCACAATAAACTTCCCCGATACCCCCAGAAAGTCCTCCAGAGAGACCAATCTTGATGTGCCTGATAATTCTAAGGTACAAACCAAGCAGGAAACAGAAACATTTAGGTAAATAAAAACATCTTTGGCTAGAAAAGAGCACACATTCAGAGTAAAAAAAAAAAAAAAAACTTTGTAGCTCACCCTACAAGCTGTCATGTAATCAGTCAGACCTGTCCCTGACCCAATACATGTTAGTTACCTTGTCTGTTTCTTTTCTATGGATGTTTACATGCAGGATAACAATATTTGATAAACATCCAGGTGCTACAAAGATAATAATCAATCAAAGCTTGTGGATAGCATCAACCACAAAACAGAAAAGCTTTGCTCTTGGGTGCCTATTATTTTTATTGTTTACATTTCATAAGCACACGAGATGCTTCTGTCAATGAGGAATTCTCCCCTGCCACTCTTACCTCTATATCAGTCATACTCAGACCTCAGTGGGTCAGGAGCCAAATTAGCGATCAACATTACCCAAAAGAGCCACCGTAGTGTGAATTCATTGTTTCATTTATTATTTTATATGTATGTATAGCTTTGTTCTCCCCTGTTTAAAGCCAACGCCATTATCTAGATGAGGGGTCGGCAACGTTTGGCACGCAGCTCGCCAGGATAAGCACCCTGATGGGCTGGGCCAGTTTATTTACCTGCTGACGCGGCAGGTTCGGCCGATCGCGGCCCCCACTGGCCGTGGTGCGCCGTCCCGAGCCAATGGGGGTGGTGGGAAGCGGCGCAGGCGAGGGATGTGCTGGCTGTGGCTTCCCGCCACCCCCATTGGCCCGGGACGGCGAACCGCGGCCAGTGGGGGCCACGATCAGCCGAACCTGGCGCGTCAGCAGGTAAATAAACTGGCCTGGCCCGCCAGGGTGCTTACCCTGGCGAGCCGCGTGCCAAACGTTGCTGACCCCTGATCTAGATCCTGCAGAAGGCAGGCTTCTATCTCATCTGTGTTAGGGGATTCTATAGGACTCAATATCGAAGTATTAAAAGAAAGGAGGTAAATTAGAGCTGCACAGTGAGGCCCATCATGGACTTAATGGAGTTTCCAGCCTCCCTGGCTGCAAGAGATTCTTCTCTGAGGTATTTACTATGTTTCATATCTAAGACCCTTCAGCTGCAGTGGAAAATGCTTCCATTTTAGGTTCATCTAACTCAATGGTTCTCAACCTTTTCCAAAGTGTGACCCTCTTTCCCATACCTAGACCTCCTTCCCATCTAGCCAGGATCTAGTTCCTCCCAAAATAAATACAGTCAAAGCAGGGTGGTCATGACCGTAATACCTGTTCATGACCCCTCTAGAGTTCATGACTCCTAAGCTGAAAGCCCCTGATGTGGTTTCCTCAATAGCACATTCAAAACCCTCTTATCTGTGATGCTTTGTCTTCTGCTCCATGCCATTTGTCTTGGGTTTTGTTCATGGCATAGTCTAGGAGGAGAAATGAAGCCATCTTGATGGGTCATAGGTGGAGATGTGGTTGCTGATGTAGCTAGGTCCTGACCCATTGATGGCTCTGAAGATCAGGACCAGGGCCTTGAATCGGCAAAGTAAGAGGGTAGAATCCATTAGAGGATGCAAGGCACAGGTACTATAAGCTGCAGCAATACAGTCTGGAAGTGGCAAATATATGGATTGTTGTAGCTAGGTCTTCGTTCAGGAGGAAGGGGCAAAACCTCATAGGCAGCGGCAGGCTTTGCTCACCACTGTCACACCCTGATCATCCAGGGTTAGTTACAGATCTGGAAGGATCCTGACACTCTGCCCTTGTTTGCCTAAAGTCTCGTCTAGTCCTTCAAAATGTTGCCAGAGCGAGGAATCAAACCTAGATCTCCTGAGTTTCAATCCAGTGCTTCATCACAAGGTTTGACTGCTCCATTTATCTTCTTTGTCCAGCCCCATCACTGGGAATTCTTTCATGTTTCTCCTTATGCTTGGAACAGACTCTCATCACACGTGCTCTGTCTCCTCTGGAAAAATATTCCTAAAGACTTACCTATTCCCCAAAGAACATGAGCTCCAAAGACCACACTGCACTCTGGGGCTGATCTTGTCACCGCTGAAGTCAGCTCGTCTGTAATAATGTTGTTACAGGTGCAACAAACAAACTTCAGCCATTTAGATTTGCTGGGGACTCAGGTGTTGCCCCCTGCTGTGGAGGTAGATAATTGATCCAATGGGATATGGAAGGTTCTCACACAGCCTAGCAGCAAAATTCTTGGATGTCCAGAGAAGGAAGGGAATTTTGGAAGTAGGCTGGAATCCAACACAAGAAAATTCTTGGCTGTCCAGAGAAGGAAGAGAATTTTGGAAGTAGGCTGGAATCCAACACAAGTAAATCCTTGGAATGGAATTGTTGCCTGCTGGTATCTTACTGCACTCTACACTAGTGTTGAAATATTTTATACTGTGAAGCTCTCTGTCCAGTGCCTGGGACAGAAACTGGAAAAATGGGATCACCCCACCAGCAACAGCCCAGATGGTGTCTCTTTCTGGGAATTCCGGAGGGGTGTTGCAGGGGCCAGATTTTCAGCTGATATAAATCAACATCGTTCCAATGTCCGCACACATATACACCAGCTGGGGACCTGGATGAAGAGCTTTACAAATCACTCAGCCATTCCAAAGCTGTGATCTGTCCGATCTTGCACAAGAGCAGGAAAAACTCTTTGTTAAGAACAAGAGAGGGACATGCACGCCCAGTCCAAAGCAAACCCCGTCTGGCAGTTCTGAGCTTCTTATCAGAAATAAAGGACACCCCCATGAGCAACGATTATGAAATCCATTCAAAGAGTATCCACTAGCCCCCATCCTCTCCCTTTTCTCATTCAAATTCTGAGCCAGGCTTAGGTTAAAAATGTATATTTGTTTTTACAAGGCAACGTTCCAGGGACTTTCAAGATTCTTTCAAAGCATTTCAGAACAAGATTTTTATCTGGCTACTGTTGCTTTCTGACTTCTTTTAATCAAAATTGGTTTTAGATAAAATCTTATCAGACGCAACAGTAATAATTGGCTCTTGTACAGAGCATTTCATTCATCTGCCTCAATGCAATGTAAAAAGCAAAATCAGTGTCATCAGCCCCTTTTTAAAGATGGGGAAACCGAGGCATGGAGCAGCAAAATGGCTTAATCAGAGCCACACAGCAGGTCAGTGTCAGAGAAAGGAAAGATATCCAGGTCTCCCAGTCCAATACTCTGCGAAGGCATCATTCTCATTTAAAATAAGGTTCCTTTGCATCACTCTAGACTAAATGTGACAGGTTTCAGAGTGGGAACTGTGTTATAATTTACCTTCCCTTCAAGACCCTCTTTACACTGCAGAGTGGTGTAAAGGGACCTTTGTGGAAATGAGAATCAGGCCCTAAGTGGTTTTTTTTTTTTTAATAATAAACTGAACCTTGTCTCTCACTCTTTTTTATGGTTTTGTGATATTTAGGCACAACCAAACACTGTGTGTGATGACCACAAACTATATGTCACTTGGATTTCATGGGTCATTTTGTATTTGTTCAGGATAGAAATTAAAAAGAAAACAGTTGTGTTCATTAGCACGTAAGTGCTTTGAGAGAAGGTTTGGTCATTGGGAATAGAAGAGGTTTCATAAGAGAGACGTGGTACAGAGGATAAAGCAACATGGTATTAGCAAACACAAGCTTTCCGAACTGGTTTTTTTTGTAAGTGTGTATAAAAATATTATACAAGATCTTTAACATGGCTAGAAATTGGTAGCTTGACAATTAGTGTCTCTTGGGATTCTGGTGATATTGCAAATTAGGAGTCAGTTAGGAGTTTCAAAGGATGCCTATTACCTTTGCAGAGTTTTCAAGTTGTCACTTGGTTATTTTCTAACAGAACTTTTAGTAGAAGGGATGTTTTATTCTTTCTCTGGTGGAATGTCACCATGCAAAGAAAGATCCTTTGGTTTCTTTCCATCTTCCAGTAAGAACTCTGCCCTTTTATGTTGCTTTTCATCAAAGGCTCTCAAGGAATGTTACAAATATTTCATTAAAGGGTCACCTTAAACTGGAATTTTAAAAAAATATTTTTTTTTAAATTACCAGCTTCTGACAAAGCACTCTTTAAACAGGATGTCCTGCTTTCTAAATTCATTTTTAACATGTATAGATATTTTTCTGCCTCCCTGCTGATATTTATAAAGCTCCTTTCAGCTGTGGAAAAGTAACTGACTCTATCCAGGGATCAAAGAAACTGACTATACACAAGGTGCTGTCATAGGCACAAAATGGAACAAGTAGAGAATTAAAGGGTTTTCTTCAATTTCTTTCAGTTTTAGTAATTCATCTATATTACATACCCAACCACTCTAGTATCTGAGCACCTCAGTCTCTAATGTATTTATCCTCACTGCACCCTGTCAGGTAAAGCAGTGTCATTATTCTCTTTGTACAGATGGAGAACTAAGGCATGGAGAGCCTAAGTGACTTGCCCAAAATCACACCGGAAGTCTGTGGCAGAACAGGAAATTGTAGCCAGGTCTCCCAAATCTCAGGCTAGTGCCCTGACTAGTGGATCATCCTGCCTCTCTAATCTTAGTAATTTTAGATGTTTACATGTAACTAAAATAGGTGCAAAATGTTCGTGTTGATAGCACCTTGTTAAGCCCTGCAGCACCACTGTGTTTTATACCTATTTCACAGATGTGTAAACTGAGGCAGAGGGAGCTTTAGTGAATTGCTAAAGTCCCAGAGTAAGTCAGGAGGCAAACCAAGACTAGAACCCAGATGTTCTGACTCCAGGTCTCCTGTTTCAGTCATTAGGCTGCACTTTGACCTTAAGGAGGTGGGAGGACATAAGGCACAAAGGATGCAGTCCGCACGTTGCACTTAGGGTGCATCTGGATGGTACACTATGGCTAATTGTACCCATACATGAACCTAGAAATGGCTGGGCAAGCCCCTCTGGAACTGAGGTGGGTAAAGATTCATCTCCATCAGCTTTCAAGAAGACAACCTGGAATTTCACCCCTTACCTTGTTTGCTAAGCAGTAAGAATGGCCACAGAAGAGCGAAAAGGCTGCCCTGCTTCTTGCACAGTGAGTAACT